TAGCTAAAGCTGTTTTTTATGTAGTCTGGTTTCATTTCCTAACAAGTAGAATGAAACCTAACCCCGTGTAATAATTAGAAGTAATATCAACTTCAATAGTCGTGTGTGGCTTGCGGCTAATATATATAATCATGTCCTTTTTGCTATCCATTTCAAACCATTGCTTTTTTTTTTTTTTAAACTTGTGGATCTCACGCTTTTATGATGGAAATGACCTCGAAAAAGATATTGTTTTGAAAAAGTTGGGAAGCTGGTTTGTTGAACTTTTTTTTTATGTTGATTAGTTTATTATTTGACAATATTAAACTAATATATATTTAAATATTCCCAAATTTAATAACATTTTTTTAAAACTAAAATAAGAATTAATATTTTCGATCTTGTTAACAGAGGGTATATTAAAGGCTTATTTTATGGAGTGATATATTTTTTCTCGGACTATTTCTTATATCATATCGATGATTAAAAGTCCAAAATACATGTTTTTATTGTACTAGCTAATAAGTTCATTAGCGGTAAGTTCATGGAAAAGATAAAACGTGGTAAATCTAATTATTTTAATCATTAAGGTGTTGATGAAGTCAAGAATTTGTGTCTAGATCTCGTAATCTTTTTTTTTTTTATTAGCTCTAGTTTTTTGGCCTTTTCCTTTAATTCCTAGATTAAGTTTATATCAAATAGAGAAAAAAACTCACGTATTGAAATACATGATTCTTTCAGTATTTTGTATTTTAAAAACACAAAATGCATTGTATTGTAAATATGTTTTGCCTAAATCTGATTCATATATAATTTATTTATTCTTCCTTGGTGTATCTACTTATTTCTAATATTTTATCTTAAATGATTAATGCGTTATTCAAATAATTTTTGTTTTAGACTATATATACTTTACATTTCCATTTATATTTTTCATCATCAGTTCTAAACAAACATAGTGGTATTGTGATCGATGATGAGCAGCATGCATTTTTTGCCCTATAATAATAGTATAATATGAGCCTTTCAGTTGACAGAATTACTTACTCCAATTTCAAAAATTTTTATTATTAATTTTGGTGACATTTCTAGTGGGAAAATCTATACCGTTCTTTATTTCAGTACTGCAATTAAATACTCTGAAATAAACTCACTCACTGACTGTACAGATATTATAAGTGTTCCAACTAGAAATATCACTAAGTGACTTTACTAAAAAATTTTGAAATTGGAGTTAGCCATTTAACTGAAATTTTCATGTTTGTTTGATTCCAGAATAGTCTGTGATTAATTTTAAAATTGTAATTTTTTTTGTTAACAATCGATGCTAAAAAAAGTGTTTCAATAGAATTGTCAACAGAAATAGTTTTTAATAGTCGATTTACTATGTCAATTATTAATTTTTTTTTGTTTTTATCATTTTATTGAAATTTGGAACTGTAAACAAATACACAACAAGTAAATTTGATATAGAAATATATTATATGAAGAGACTTGTGAAGAAGCTACCCTTTGGTAACACTTCAAAGACAAATTAATTTAGGGGATCCCTTGGCCATCTTCTTTTCAGACGCCTCATGGGGTTGTCAGGAATTGTGTTGGATGAAAGGTTACAAACTAGAGGATTGTTGTGACCAAAGAGTTTGGAATGAAAAGAGGTATATTTAGTTCGGGCCAAGTCTTCCACAAGAGGAATGTTGAGGTTTTTATGGATAATTTTATTTGTTACATAATAAGGAGCATTTAGGATTTTAGGGAGGATTTTGGATTGTAAGGATTGGATACGGGAAGACTTTGATGTTTTTGTAGAGCCCTTAAAGCTTATTTCCAAATGGGCCTGATCATGGTAGTATAAATGAGTTTTTAATTATTAATTAAAAAAATTATGTTGTACCAATGAGGCACTGCAATAATTTCATACATAATTACATTTTTTCTGTATTAATTATTAAATACATTACTCAATATTATTACTTATTAAAATTAATTGTAGGGGAACAAATGACACGGGAGACAGAGAGAGATAGAGGGAGGGCGTGAGGGGGGGGGGGCGACTGGGTGAAAGGACCTAGGCGAGTTGGAGAGTGGCCGTTAGCGTCCACTTTCACCGGCCCATCCTTTGCCCCACTGACATCCTGTTCCACTTATATTACACTCCTCCTATATTTTATTTTATTAATTTATTTATTATATATATATTTTATCATTTTATAGATTAGGTTAGGTTATTGTTTTTATGGACACTCAACAGCTATATTTTATAGATTATCTCATTATTACTAATGGAATTTACAATTCTTTCTTTATGGAATAATATTGTCATAGTAAAAGGCATTTTTAACGTAGTGTCTCATATAGAGTCTCATTCATACTCTATGTACAATAAATGAAAATAAATTAAATAAAACTACAAAATAATAATATTAAAAATAAATGAATGAACGAATAAATAAATATATATATGCAAAAGGAAAATTAAATAAAGGCATACTTATTCACAATATTTTCAAGCATTCATTCAGGAGAACTCTGACCTGAGCTTCTCCCCCTCGTGTGGTAGGAAAAGCTGAGCTATGGGAGATCTTAGCACCTCTCTCTCAGCCGCGTGACTCGTATGACCAATTGAGGATAAACAGAGGAGCTATAACCAGAGAGGTTCATAGCGTAGGTGGAGAATCTGGTCGTTGCCGAAATTCCAATTTATGCACATTTACAAAAGGTCTCGGGGTCATTGCTGCTTCAAGCTTTGTGGAGGACTGTTGGGATGGGTGAGGCTAGATAGGGATTGTGCTAGGGGACTTCGATGATATGTAAGGCTCTGATGAGATTCGGAGAATTTTTCTTGGGTAAGGTCTAGGACGAACGGGATATTTTCTTGGTTACATAGAACGGATCATCGCCTATTGTTCGAAGGACTTCTACATGGACTTCTAAAATATTTTTCTGGATTGTCTTGTCAATCAGTAATTTGTTGTCAATAGAAAGTTGACTTTTCAGTAGTCTGTATACCTGGCCGCATCCTCGTTTAAGCTCATTTCTTTTGAGTCTTGTATGTGAATTCCACAGTATTGATAATTAAAAAAAAAAAAAATCTATTTTATTTGATTTTCAGTCGTTTTTCCGATATCTTTCCTTGTTCAGAACTTTTTGTAGGCACAATATTTTAGGTGTTTTAAGTATTGCTTAGTTGAAGATTTTTCGTTCCATATTTTATGTTTTACTACTGTATAATTTCCTTTTTTCATTATTTATTTTTTTAGCGACTGGTGTTAATCGGTGTTAATTGGTGAGTTTCGGGAGGAAAAAAATTAATTATGGTTATAAATAGTGGTTAAGAGTAATGTGTATATATTTAATATAATGGTGGCATGTTTAATTATTGGAAAAATTGAATTATTTTTTAAAATAATTAGAAAATGTATTTTGACGTTGTCTCCTCTCATTCATATAAATTCAATAGTTTGCTGAGAGTAGAGTTGATAATGGTGCCATGAGGCGAAACACGACTATCTATTATGTCATCATTGTTTTATATTACTTTTAATTTGTAACATTTTAATTTGAATAAAAAAAAATGAACAAAAAATATAGAATTAGTTATGTATTTGTAGCAACCCAATATAGCTGAACAAAACCCTTTTTTCTCCCTTTTCAGTGTTCCTCTCTTTAATTTCTATTTATTAGTGAAATATCAAACTATTGCAGTAGAAAATATAAATATTTTTTTAAACTTTTGTTTTCAGATTTAATCATTGTCTAGTGGTTCCGTGCAATAACATTAAAATAATATATAAATAAATAGATCTTATGTATTATGTGAGGAAAGAATTAATTATATTTTTCTTGGTCAAATACATTATTTCATTTAACATAATAGATCAAAAAACTTTTCTAGGGCCTATTCATAAATGCCGAATACTACCTTTCATATTAAAAAATGCCTCCATCAGGAGATTTTGTAAATTATTAAAAAATAAAAAAATGTATCCACAGAGAATTGTCTATAAGAAATAATAAAGTATATATATTCGACAGGAAAAAAAAAAACGGTAGTCGAATAATAAGAAATTATTATGTATACCAAATCTAATGGACCACTATGTTCATAATGGTTCGATTTTTTGTGTGTATTTTTATTTGTAAAATTTAGGTAATTTTCAAATATTCATTGGTTTAATCTAGAAAAAATTGTATACTTTTTAAGTTATTCACAAATAAGTTTCTTTTCATTCATAATTTTTTCCTAAAATTCAGGTGGTTTTTGTTTTAATTAGTCACTGCTATATTTAATACGCTTTTGTTTGGTACCTTATTCATCAAAATCCACCGCTCTTGAGATCCGGAAAAGGGATTGTTACTTCGAAAAACTATATTATTATATTATAAAGATTATCAAGTCATATATTGATTGTTTATAAGAATTCGGAGATTTGACAATATAATCTATGATAGAACAGAACGGGTAGTTAGATAATAAGTATGCTTGGATAAAATAAAAAATATATATATTTAAAAAGAAATTTCTCTGATTGATTGATAAAGAAGGATCATATTACCGCCAGAAAAATAAATATGGAGGGATAGGGATTGGGTAGGCGATGTATGTACAAGGGACAATCCGAAATAGGGTCCGCGCGAGTTATTTGCGCTGGAACGTGTAAGTAAACCACGGAGCCGAGTGTACAGTAAGAGGGCCGGCAAACAGCACGCGCACAAATAGAATCCGCCGCGCATCGCACAAATAACTCTAACTGCTTCGGAAGGGAGAAAAAAAAAAAAAACCTGCTCTTTCTAATTTATTGGTATTGCCCCCGAAGGAAAACAAGGGCTCGTGCGGCGGCCTAATAAATGTCCCTGTGTGGTATTTAAGGAATAAACGTTATTCATTGCCCTTATCTCTACCGTCCCTGCTATGAAAAGTAAGCACAACTTTACCTAAGGCACCTTATAATATTAAAGTTTTTTAAGGCTTTTCCTCTTCTAAGGGCTGCTCTGGGAGAATTTATTCTTTAATTTTAGTATTAACTTCCTCTCGCAAATCTCGAGGAGAATTTAAATCTGCCTAATATTCCGCCTCTTACATATTCATTTGTTTGTTCCGGAAGGGCATTACATAAAGTCGAGCTGGGAGTATTTCCTCCATAAACCAATACAGATATACTGAATACACAATATTAACATAACAATGTACGAAATTTGATGCTAACAAGAAATCATTCAACCTCTATCATTCTTTTTGTTTTTAATTATTTTACTATTCAAATTTATATCTTTATTATGACCTAATGATCTAGACCATATGTGAAGAATCGTTTTGTCATTAGAGGCCGCAGTAAGTTTTGGCAGTGTTAATGGAGGCCGCAATAAATCCTTATATTTTAGCGTTGCAATGTTTGTTTATGACTAAATACACTCACCCACATACATACATTGAACTTAATTCTACTAATTTCCAAATTACCATCACTTAAATAATTAATTTAGCATTAAATTAATAAATTTGGAGGACTCATGTAGCTTTCGAGGCCGCAACGATACCACAGAGCCCACGTGCTGCCTCCGAGCCCGCGGTTATTTTTTATGAACATGATCTTTGATATTATTTAATCTTCCAAATTATAAGTGGTGGAAGTAATATATATATTACATAAATAATAACTTTAAGCTAGCGGAAAACTAACCTTTCTAGAATTACTGTTATTTCTAGAAGACCGAACGTTAATGGGAGAATTGTGTTATGCACGATCTTAAAAAAAAAAAAAGATTTTAATTGAATTAAGTGGAAAGCAGTATATTTTCAAAGATTTTTTTTTTTTATTTGTGGTAATTAAGCAAATAGAAAGAAAACTATGTTGAACTATCACGCACCGGGTGACCACACAACATGTACTTTTAATGGATAGTTTCAAACTTTTTTTTTCCCATGTTCTTATCTGCAACTACTCATTCTTAACTATTTATTTATCATTAATGGCTTGTTATGTCATTCTAGCAACCGACATGAGTTATGTCAAGATAACAACGACTGCTACTTCATTATCAGCGTTATGTGCTATATTTATATTTAGCCAAGAACGAGAAATATTCTCCAAATCACAGTAATGTACTTAAAATTTGCCCTTGGACTTCTAACTATCGTGTCCGGGTTCAAGTCCGGCTATGGTAAATTATTTATTGATTCTATTTTATTAGTCGTAAATCGACATTACGGTCGAAGCACTTCTCTTGTGTAAATTAGGTACCTGATCCTTCTTTGCAGTGGGAGATATACTGGAGGTTGAGCATGGTTGCTGACCTCATCATATCCTTGATTAACCGTTCGTCAAATAGCAGTACTTATCAAGTACAGAACTGATCACTCTTCATGACTTTTAGTTGCATATTTTTACTAACTTTGTTTCTTTTATTTCTAATCATACAAGGGATTTGAATTTGAATTTCAATTTATGCTCAAGATATGAACATACATTTAATAATGTTGAAAGCGTGACGTTTTGCTTAGATACCTTTCAGCATTGAAATGAATCAAAATGTTTTTACCGTTGGGTTACAAAACTTGAACATTTTTCGAATATTAAAATAAGTTAGGGTTATAAATATATAATTATAGCCATGTTATGACTTTAAATTTGAGTTGATAGATTAGAGTTTACTTTCAACAACAAAGGTGTGGAACCGCGGCCTCCAAACGTTTTTGCGCGATGTTTATCAATCTAATGCTAGAATTAATTTATATTTAATTATTCAAGTAACGACAATCTGAAAATTGATTGAATTATGTTGAACGTATGCATGCGGGTGTGTGTATTTATTGATAAATAAAAATAGAAACGGTAAAATAGAAACAGACCCCTTTTTCTCAAATTATTAACATCCAGCTGAAACTTCGTAAATAGCTTCATCACATCGTAACATACAAATTTTATTTGCGAAAATTCTCTGAGGGGCATTTTCAATCTGGAGGTCGGCAAACTTTTTCTGTTTATTAGTTACTAAAAACTGGTAAATACGCATTTGGTTTCCAATTTAATCGTAGAGGAAAAAAAGGTGGTCTTCAAAATATTGAACTGTTTGTACTGTATAACGTTATTTTGACAATTTGGGGGTGTAGGTCACGCCAAAAGTCTCAATATTTTTCAAGGCCACATTTTGCCTAGACTTTGTGCTGAAGTGAAAGCAATGGGCATTTACGGATATTTAGTACCTAATTAAATAGACAAGGTTTGCCAACCTCCAGATTGAAAACGTTCCAATCCGAGAATTTTCATAAATAAAATATTTGTAGGTTACGATGAGATGAAGCTATTTACAAAATTTCAGCCGGATGTTAATAATTTGACAAAAAGGGGTCTGTACCACGGACTATCAGACTTATTTGTTAAAGCGTATGGGTAGCTTACGGACATCGTGTGAACAAATTTTAAATGTTAATCATTGCACATTAATTATTTAAAATTTTAAGAATATATAAAACAGATGCAATAGTTTTTTTTATTTTAACAGAGACTGATGTTTCCAGTAATATTTTCAGTCTAAAAATAGAATTAACAATATGTCTCCTAACAAAAATTCGATGTTATTCATTTCCCCCATAAGATAGAAGGTCGCTTCACCCATGAAGTAAAATTACCTCTAAAATCGATTAATGTTTTTTCTTGTGGCTTCTCAAATATTTGGACCGTCCTCTGTGCTACAACAAAGATAATACACTTATGGAAGATAACAAAAAGTAGTCCATAAGCTTCCTTTTTTTATTTTTTATTTATTATTTTCATTTAGTAGTTTTGGAGTCTTTTTAAATACTTTATTTACCTGTTTCATTAATCTTTATATCTAATAAATTATGTGTCTAAAACTCCTATATTCCCATCTCTTTTTTTTTCTTTTTCTTTTTGGAAACCTGTTAAACTTTACACACTTTATTAAAACTTAATGAATATGTGCCGTAACGAACAACATAATGTTTTTGGAAAATAATATAAGTAATAAAATGATTAATGAGCTACTCCTTTATGTCTGACATTCTGCCTTTCCTTCCATCCTCTCCCCCCTAATGTTTCTTAACTTCCGATATCTATGCTCAGACCTATTGTAGCGCTGAAGATGACCCTCACAGTTTTGCCGAAACGTCAGCTTGTCGTCATCGAAACGTTGCTTTTCTCTTCGTAGTAGTTTTTATTATCTAAAATCCTGAATTTTACTGTTTGTCCATTTATTCTACAACTCCTCGATCTTCAGATTTTAACGCAGTTTTCGAAAGAATACCGTTGAAAAGGCCCGTTCGAGGAAGTTATGTATATATTTTTTCCAGAAGCTAAGTCTTACATAAGGATTGGATTGGAGGAGGGGTAGCCTGCCCTGGCATACATGTTCCCTGAGGATGAGGGGCACAAGTGCTGTAATGAGGATCGTAATGGAAGTCTACAGCTCTGTTTTCGCTCCCTTTCACAACTGCCTATTGATTCCTCGCTAGCATTGTGTAACTGCAGTCGCTCCGCCGCTTCTTCCTTTTGATATGCAAATCCGTTTTGATTTACGACATCCGTTGTCCGATTTTTTTCCTTCTTTTTAACTATGTTTAGCTTTTCGTACTATTAGAAAAAAAAAGAGAAAGGAGATATTTGTGGTAGAGGATAGAGTTTCACTTGGATACGTGGGGAAAAAAATCGCGTAAACTTGAGCTGCTGTAGAATTCAACAAACTGAAGCTACTGTAATGAAAGTGAAACTGCTGTAGAATTCAAGTTATTTACCTCTTTGACTCCTCAAATACTACGAATGGTTGTTATTGATGAAGTACCAATTGATTTAGTGATGTTTGCTTTTGCTACCTGCTTGTATATGATACAGTGACGTTTTGAATAACAACTAGAAAAAAATAATTAATACGTTATACAAATTTATAAACATGAAATATTAAACTATTATCTTGTTCTTGAGAGTATTTTTCTTCATCGTAAGTGAAAATAACCTTCCCATATTGATTCATTATCAATATTTTTAGATTTTAACTATCTTTTTTTTTTTTTTAGTATGATATGTAGTCGTGATGGTATCCGATGTTGCGATCCATGCATAATGGGTCATCACGTGGGCAATGGTTTCTGAGGTTTGAGAACTCCAAATCAGTTTCTAATTCTGTGCTAGTAGCCAGACACAATGGTGTCAAAGTAATGACTCTGATTATGACCTACGCGATTGTGGCGAAACGTCGAAAACCGAAATGTAAACATTCAAACTGAAAACCCCTGACTATTTTTTTGACACAACAAAAACTAGTCTAACCAGAGTAGGATGGTTAAGATTCATTCCGTGGTCACGAAACAAAATTGACTACCTCGCTAGACTTCCATATTATTACTTTCTTTCATATGTTTATTTTTTATTTGATGATCATCATCATAATCATAATCCTTATCCCCCATATACCGCTGCGCAGTGTGGGGTTACGCTTTGTAGAGTCTGGACCTGGTGCCTCGCTCTTGGACCAGCTATCTTCTCCTAGAGCTACTCCAATCCATCCCTCCATCGAATCCTTCCATCCATCAATCCATACCTCGTCTCCTGAACACCTCTTTAACACTCTCCTCACAGGATATGCGCGGTCTCCCTCTTGGCCTCCTTCCCTCCACACGAGTCTTATGTCTTCCTGGCAGTTCTCTCTTGATCCATCATATGGAGGTGTCCGAACCACATTATCTTATGCCTCTCTAGGATGAGCTCGGCCGGCTTGGCCTCTTCGAACCTTACACGTGTTTCAAGGTGACGTTACACGATTCAAACGAGTGAGAAAGAATAGGGAGGAGCGTTGATTTATAGACCGTCATTTTTGTCGTCTTTGTCACTTCTCTTTAACCCAGGAAAGCCCTCCTAAGCAAAAAAGAACACTATTGCAGCTGTAGCGATTGTCTGAGACACTTCCTCTTCAATGTAGGCTTTTTCGTTGAGATGAGCACTTAAATATTTAAAATTATTGACCTCCTTCAATATTTCTCTGTTTGTTTTTATGACTCTCGTTTCTTATTAATTTTGTATGTATATTTTTATTTATATATTTATTTTTGTATTTACCTTAACTTACTTTTGTTATCTATAGATTTTTTAACCATAATCTATTTATTTATATCCTTTAATTTGTTTGTCATATTTTTTTTTACTTATATTACTAGTTTATATTATTAGTTTACTTTCTATTTTACTACTTATTATTATTATTTATTATTAATAACCGCTCTGTCATTATGACCTCTCCATCTTATATAATTTCCAAAACAGTCGAAAAAAAAGCTTAAAGAAAAAAAGCTCGAAATTGTCTTTCCTTTTATGAAAGTGTGGAAATAAAAATTCTATTTGCATTTTAAAAGAAAAATGAATTCTTCTGCAAACTAAGCCTTAATTAATACTGTTTTAAGTCTTGTAGTTAACTTAGGTTTATTTTAAATAAATTAGGTAAGAGAATATGAAGTTTCTGCTTTATAACTTCAACAGCTGTCAGTTTTAAGAAGTTGTTAGGGCTTTCTTGGACGGTTTGTTTTGTTTAAGTGGTTTGGATACTTATTTCATCTTAGGCTCATAGCATGGGGTTGCATAAGTTTTCTTATTAGTTTGAACCGTGCGTTTATATCTACCTGGCAGAAGTTTTACTACAATGTCGGATTATTTTCTACATAATGAAGCAATATTGTTGTTCTGCTTCATTGCTTTCCTATTTTCAATCTTGTTTGGAATATTAAGTTCTTTTAAATAATTTTGACGCCTTGCTTCCGATCGTAACCGACAAAGATCATTGTAGATCAGGCGTCTGTCCTCTCAACTATAAAGAACCTGTATTAAGATTATTTATTTTTTTGACTGATACAGTTCTTGCAAAGAATGTTTTTACACCTACTACGGCCCCGATTCCTGAATGTAACTGTTAAAATAAAGGCATGAGTGTTATAATTTAAAAAAAAAAAAAAGCCTTTCTGCCTAACAAACATTCTCATGTTCCAGCTTGCCTAAATACGGATTATATTCCTCGACAAATATATGCTAATGTGGATGTTTGTAATCATTTATTTTAGAATATAATAATCATTTTTATACACCTTATAACTTTATATGAATATAAAGCCTGGTTCCTGGTTCGTGCCTTGTGATTTGTGAGCTCGTTGTGCCTAAAAATGATTGTGTTGCGTGCACCCTCACGAAGCTCTTTTCTCTGCCCTTGTTGGATTGAGGAATTGTTAAATAACAAGAAAAATAAGAAGTTCTTGTTGAAAATATATTTTACATAAGTTATATTACATATTATGTTTTGTTACATTTATAATTCATTTGTGCTTGATCAGAAGCACTTAAGTTATTATTATTTTTTCGAAAATACTTGGTATCCTTTACAAATAAATCCTGTCTTTACATTGGATAGTCTCAGTGAAACTATTTCTCATATTATTTATTCACATTTATATTCCATTTATGGTTGATCGAAAGGGCTTAAGTAATTATTTTATGAAAACATTTGGTGCACTTTAAAAATAAATTTTGCCTTTTCATTGGATTTTATTTTTATACCCTTATTTATAGTTCTATATTTCAATACTGCAATCACCTACTCTAGAATCTACTTACTCTATGTATGTACTAATATAAATTTTCCAACTAGAATAACAATAATGACTTAAATCAAAAATATAATATTAAAATTATTTATTTTACATACCTTTACATTTGTAAACCTGATGACAAGCCCGTTTGAAAAAGGACCAGATGAATTGTTATTTAGAATTTGTGACAAGGAAAAAGTAGGTTTTTTTTTTTTTTTCATAATAAATTAAAACCGAATAATACATAGAAATAGACTTTTTCTAAAGCCCTTTGATCTTTAGGATTTAATTAAAACCATTTTCCTTTTCAAGGACTGATTCCTTTTTCAATTTGATTTTCTTTTTAAAGTATCTGAGTGTGTGATGAACCACTGGTCATTTCGACCGAAATATGTTTTATTTAAAATAATAATTTTTATTGAAGGACTAAAATGAAAGCAGGGAACGGATTTTTAAATAGGTTTATGTGCAATTTTTCATTTAACGTTTTTTGAAAATTTGAACTAGTGTTTGAATTGAACCTACATTTTCCAATAATTACTTTTTATGTTAATTTTTCCTTCTTCGGTCCAAATATTCCAAGACGTCTCTAATTTCTTAATGTAACATACAGTAATATAGGAAGTACATACGTTTTGTAAACACTAATTTTCAAATGTTATTTTCAAGTACAGAATACGCAAAATAATATTTTCAGCCTTAATTCTCTCTTAAATATTTTTCTTTTTCTTATTATCGTAGACATTTCATTTTTCTATTGTTAAAAATTGTTCTTTCTTATATCTTTGTCATGTAAATATTTCTCCACTGGCTTTAGCAACAGTGACGCAGTTGAGAGAGTAGCGCAAGGATCTCTTGGAGTCCTGCTTTTCCCTCTATAGTTGGAAGGACAAACTTGGGGTTCCCAGCCTGAATGTGTATATTGTATACAGGTATGACTGTGCTTTTATGTTTTCAATTTGCTTATCTTTAGGTTATTTTATTTTTTATTGTACATAGTTATTGATGTTTGGGTCTCTCACAGGATTTATTTTTTTCGAAAATCACAAAAAATGTTGTAACTTCGATACGACTTTAGATATCGACAAGAAATTTAACATAAATACAGGACCATGTAAACTACACAAAATGACATCAAAAGGACCTTTGTAAACAAATTACAAATGGAGATATAAAATAAAAACTATAAGGACTTTTTGTTTATTTATTCCTTATATAAGCATTCAATCAAAAAACCATTCATACGGTTTTATAGTAACATCGAATTCGGAGAACATCCTGAAAAATTATTAATAATCGGAAGGGTGTTGTCTTCCACCAAGATACACGCCTCCGATAAATACATATATATTTATTTATTATATCATTTGTGTTAGTATAAATTATACTATATGAACATAATTTTGTTATCGGGTCATTGCAGTTTCTATAAAGCAACTTGAGTTACGCGTTAGGTCTATTTAAGGCATAGATAACTAAGCAAGTTGGTCAGCACCTTAGCGGTACACAATACAGTTGTAATTAATGAACTGTCAAATTCCGCAAGCCTTATTAGTATGCAGTAGCCTGGTTGTGCTGTAACAATAATAGCCTTACCGTAAATGCGCCAATAAAAACATCTAACTAGCCCTTACGATTTGCAATATGGAACGCTAAGATAGTTTTATACAGTAAATTTTTGTATATAAAGAATATATTTTCGTTAGCTCTTTCAAATAATTTTACTTGCAAGTTAGATTGGATTAGCTTCCATTGTTTAAGGCTTCTTTTAAGTAAAATTGAATGATACGTAAATGCAAGATAGCGAAATGAATATTTCCCTATGTTCCTTATCAATGAAGTTCAGAAATTTAGTTAATCTATTAAAGCAAATGTTACAATATGTATGTGTAATTGATTCAAGGCTAAACATCGGTCGCTTACAAAAAGTATATTTGTTATCATCCGCTTGAGTAAAGCGCCAATGACAGAGGACGTTGCGTGGTAATGATAAAGGTTTTTTGTCCATGCTGGTTTTGTAATGTTAGGGTATTTCGTCAGGATCCACAACCAGAAAGTTACACTTGACGTTGAAGAGTTCGCAATTATTTCTCAGAATTAATTAGTTGGCGATTTTCGAAACTTCTTGACAAAGAAATCTGAAATAATCTAGACAAGGAACATTTTTTAATGAATAGAAAATTTATTTAAAAATCAACATAGGTTGTATAAATTATTTAGCTCGAATCAAGAATATTTTTCATCAAGAAGTTCTATTGCATTGGTTATTAACTTATTTTACCTACTTTTTACTTTTACTTAATTATCTATATATGAAATACATATTAATGGAAAGTATTGCGATTAGTGTTGCCCAAACGCGAGACCGAGACGAGTCTTGCAAACTCAGTCTTGGTCTTGCACTAGAGTCTCGCAATGGTCTTGCAGTTACTCATTAGCTCATTACTGTAATTTTTTAAATAGGAGAAACCTAACTAAGTCTGAATGAAAAAGTAAAGGAGTTAAATGCAAAAGTTTATTGGTTATACCAATTATTAACATATAGTAACTAAGGTTGTCAATTATTAGTAGCTATTTTGCCTTAATTTTTATTAAAAAAATGAAAAAAAAATTTATTTTAGTCTTGGTCTTGCAACAGGTAGGAGGTGGCCTTGGTCTTGGTCTTGCAAAGTGCATACTATTTTTTTTTAAATAGAATTTTTTCAAGATAGCAATTAGTGATTTTGGGCAATACTAATTGCGATCTTGAAAAAATTCTATCTCTCTAAAATGGTTTGTGTTTGTCTGTGTATTCCTTGTTTTGGTCTGTATGTAAACAGCCTAGTTAGAATATAAATATTCGTTACTCTTACTTAAACTAAATTTTCAAAGGAAATAAACGCAAATTTAGTATTTTTTTTTTTTTTAACTTTGGAAAACTAAGAAACACACGCACAGAATTCTTATACTGCAATGTTTAACAAAAATTATTTATTGCACTATTGTGACAGAATACCTAAAGAAACGCATGCTGCAAATATAGTTCAACAAAATATGTATTTATTTTTCCCCTGTTATCCTTGTTGAACAAATCCGATACCTACGACTCCACCAGAAATATCACTAAAATGACTTTACTCAAAACTGTGGGAATCGGAGTTTGTCATTCTGTCAACTGAAAGGCTCATATAGAAAGAAATATTTTGATATTTTTCATAAATAAAAAAATATTTTCAGATATGACTACTACTCCCCTAGTAATAAATTTCTATACTCTTGGTGGGAGAGGAGGAGGGAATACAATTCAAGGCTCTTCTACACTAAACAAATATTTTTTAATTGGTAATTGGTTGACTGTCGTGGATAATGAAGAGAAGAATAGTTGGGGTGCTCAGTCAAAAAAGGAAGGCAAAAATAAATTATAATATTTATTTTTTACTTTTTTATAAAAATTACAACACATTTATAAAAATTACTTTTTTTTTTGTAAAAAATAAATATTATAATTTATTTTTGCCTTCCTTTTTTGACTGAGCACCCCAACTATTCTTCTCTTCATTAAACAAATATTTCTTGAGCGAGTACAATAGTTGTTGTTGGATGAGGTATAGTAGGCATAGTATATACGAATACATATGTTTCACTGGTTTCGCTTATTATAATTTTGTATAATATATAATATAAGGAAAATTTCAAAACTCACCTGGCTAGAAAATGATAACTCATCATTCATACCCCGTTCTTGATACATACGGTTGAAAACCGACAACGATTTTTTGTCTATCGTACAATCTGAAAGATTCTCAGATTTCGGTCAATTGAAGGCCGCACTGCGGCCTAGTTGTACTGCTGGTATAAAAAAAAAAAAAAGTGGTTTCTTCAGAGCTGTTACACTTTAGCCTCTTGTTGGAGAGGTAACAGTTTACGTAAGGGAGATTACAGGATCAGTCTTGGATATTTCTGGGCTCATCATTCGCAGGAAGTGGGCTGGCAGCTATCTCTCCTCTCACTTGCCGATCCAATTTTTGATAGTGGGAATCAGGATGTTACAATGTAGGTTAGGTTATGTGTGGCAGTGTGTGCCGTCGCCCTATCGTCACATATCATCGCCATCTCCTCCCCTCTCCCCTCTAAAAACTAAAGAATGAGAATATGGCGTTTTTTTTTTAGGATTCCCAGAAAAATGGGTATTTATTAGGTACAAACTCCATTTTTATAAAATT